GCCTCCCAACCAGCGCTATTTTATAGTCGATAGCTCGACTTTTGGCATAGGTATTTTATGGCACTTTAAATATGGCTTGGGAGATCCTGTGTAGTTTGCCCAATATGGTCTTGTTCCGCACTGCAGTTATCCTCCAAATTTCATCCCTGTCTTTCTCCAAGTGGTTTGACTTTCTCTCCTCATCTGTATGAAATCCCACATTGAATGCCTTAATCTCTTTTGAATCAAAAAGAGCGGATGGAGAGTATACTATACAAGCCTCATGAATGTTTGGTTGTTTCTTCAACTCAAAATTATAGGAGATTCGTATGTCAACCACTTCAATTTGGAAACAACTTTCAAGCTCGTTGGGATATTTCATTGCCTTGAAAACATTAAAAGAAACTTGTTACTCCCACAGCCTCAGAGTTAGTTGTCCTTGCTGTAAATCTATGAGGCTCTTGTAGTAGCCAAAAATGGTCGTTCCAATATGATAGGTACGTCATTATCTTCTTCCATATCCAAAATCAAGAAGTCAGCTGGGAATATGAGTTTATCCACTTTGACCAATACATCTTCAATAATCCCTCGTGGATGTGTAAGTGATCGATCAGTCAGCTGTAGAGTTACTGTGGTTGTCTTAGGCTCTCCCAATCCTAGTTTCCTGAAAATAAAGAGTGGCATCAAGTTAATACTCGCACCAAGATCACACAATGCTTTATTAAAATAAAAATAACCAATTGTGCAAGGGGCAGTGAAACTCCCTAGATCTTTCAATTTCGGTGGGAGCTTTTTCTAGATCCTAGTGCTGCACTCTTTAGTTAACATCACAGTTTCATGTTCCTTTAGCTTGCGTCTATTTATTAAGATGTCCTTTAAGAACTTGGCATAGCTGGGCATCTAGAGTAGTGTATCGGCCAACGGGATGTTGATGTGGAGCTTTTTGAAGATTTCGAGAAATTTCTTATATTGCTGCTCCATATTTTGCTTTCTCAACCTCTGGGAAAATGGAATGGGTGGTTCATAGGGGTTAATTGGTATGGTTTCCTTATCCCGTGATGTCTCTAAACTCTCCTTTGGTGTAGATTCACTTGTCTGCTCGTCTTGCTGTACAATCTCTTCTTCTGTATAGCTTGTTGTCTCATTGTTCACACCCGACCTCTCAACGTGTCTTTCAGGTAGTTGCGTCCCACTTCGAGTTGTGGTCGCTTGAACGTGCTCCCTAGGATTTAACTTAGTATTGCTGGGTAAAGTATCTGGTGCCCTTCTTATCATAAAAAGTGCTATATGTTCCATCTGCGTCTCCAAGTTCTTAATTGCAGCACCCTGATTTTGAAGAGTAGTTTCAGTTTTCCTTATGAACGGGTTATTTGCTTCCATGTACTTTTCAGTCTTTTCCATGAACTTTGGAAACATCTCTTCCAACTGAGGTATCTTCTCCTGTTGCCTCTGATATCTATTCTAACTTTGGGTACCACCCCATGAGAGATTTGGATGTTATTTTCAACTGGGATTGTAAGTGTCTGAATTTCGATAGTTCTATTGATGTTGACCCCATTGTCCGTACTCTACTTGTTCCATTCCCTGTGACAGAATTGGGCATTCCACTGTTTTATGATTCACTCCACATTCTTCACAATTTGGTTTCCGTGGATATGTTGCATTCGCTAACTGTGATATGCTTTCTACCTTGTGAAACAGAGAGTCAATCTTAGCTGATAAGGCTGAATATGTATCTACCTCATAAACTTCCGGTGTCCTCTTCTGAACAGCCCGTTCTGATGTCCATATAGCAGATGTAGTAGCCATAGTCTCAAATAACTTGTGTGCCTCATCTTTAGTAGCCAGTGACCCGTTAGATGAAGAGTCAACCATACTTTTGAAATCTGAAAGTAGTCCCGCATAGAAGTACTACGCTTAAAGTCCTTTCCTGATCCCATGATGCGGACACTTCTGCAGCATATTTTTAAATCTATTCCAGGCTTCATCATATGACTCAGATTCACCTTGACAGAAGATGGATATGTCATGCTTGAGCTTTACAATATTGGCAGGCGGGAAAAGCTTGTTGCAGAATTTCTGTGCTAAATTATTCCATGTAGTAATGCTGGCGATTGGTTGGGACTCAAGCCATTCAATTACCTTATCTCGTAGTGTATGTGGGAACAGCCTCAATTTGATTGCGTCGTCTGAGATACCCTAATACCTAAAGTGTTTGCACATTTCCATGAATCGAGAAACGTGTGTATGTGGGATCTCCTCAGCTCTACCATAAAACAAATGCCCATTCTAGAAGAGTTGTATCACGTCAGTTTTCAGCTGGAAGTTGGGTTGTCCAAACGGTGGGTAGACTATGCTGGATTGACTTTGGATTATCTGAGGGGTCAGGAAATCTCCCATTAGCATATTTCCTTCGTCCATCGCCCCTTCTTCATTGGCTTGAAAAATTGGATTGTTCTGCACAGTAGCCGTTGATTCCTTCTCTTGTTGCAATTGATGAAAGGTCTGCTCAATTCTCAGATCTGCTGGAATTAATTATCCTCTAGTTAATCTTGACATGCAACCCTGCGAGCAAACCAATAATAGCACTCAGATTCAAACAAATTACATAACTAAACACAATGATATAAAATAAAATAAAAATATGGAAAATAAGAAAATTTTAAAAATTAAAGTTTGAATTAGTACCTAGAAAAAATAAAATCAAACTAATGTTCAATCCCCTGCAACGGCGCCAAAAACTTGTTCACAAAATTTAAATCTACTCCCATATACCATCAGCCTATATCTCTATGACGGGTGCAAATATACAAAAATGCATGTAGTTTTGTGAGTACTTAAAGATTCACGCAGAGCATAGCAGTATATGTTTATCCTTTATCGGACTCTACGATGATTTATACTTTGTCGAACTTATTTCCCTTCTCTCGAATGCAAGAAATAAATCACCCAAACTCACACAATTATGGGCCCTTAATTGCGGAAGAAATTAAATGCATATAAATCATTCAAAATAATCAAACGTGTTTTAATGTCAAACATATGAAACAAGGAATTAAGAATCACATTACAAGGTTCATCAATCTCGTAGAACAAGAATTTCTAGTGTAGCATGGAGAAAATTACAAAATACATAGTAACTTGAAGAAATAACATCACCGAGTTAAATAATTGCGTAAAATCCTGTCGGTATTTTTGATTTCCTTCGATGTTGTGGCTCCAAATTCTCTCCAATATGTATTTTTCTTGCCTCCCAATGCGTTCTCCCCGAAATATGACGGCTCTAGGTTTTTATATCGCGTCCCAATCGAGTTCCAAAAGAGTTATATTGAGAATAGGAAACTGCAGGATCGGTCCAGATTTTGGTCTATACGACCGCATAGTACAAAGCTATGCGACCGTATAGTTATGCCAAAATACCCACTTGAAGTCTCTGAATACTACTATGCGACTGCATAGATTTTTAACTATGCGATCGCATAGTTCAAACATTTTTTTGGTCAAATAGTTTTTAATATTTTGATTATAACTTTCTCTCTAGATCTATGATTGAAGTGATTCAAAGTGATTTGGGAAGATAACTCCAAGATCTACAATTTTGATAGAAATAGGATTTCTCAAATTCTAATGTTTACTATGCTAAAAATGGGTCTCAAATAGAGACTAAAAATTCCATGCATAGTTTTTTTGCCTGAAAGTTGATACTTGATAATATTTCGACCATATTTCACCTATTTGACTCCTTTTCTCATCTGATTGACCTCTAACACTCTTGAATCTTCAATCCATTGCTCCAGTCTCATCTATGGATTATTTACAAATTGGTCCCTGAACTTTCAATTTCTTCAACTTTAGTCCATTTTCACTTGTTTCTTTTATTTCCATCATCCCATAATATCACCAAATTGGTACTTAGCTCATTCACTTCCTTGATTTTTCCTTAGGACCATCTTTTGGATAATTTCACTTTGGTCCCTAAACTTTTATTTTCTTTCATTTTGCTCCTTTTTTGAATCTTTTCTCATGAATTCCATCATATCCATCAATATGGCCCTATAACATGAAATTATATAGAATTAAGTCATAATCAACCAATTTTATTAATAATTAGTCATGTTTTATGGATCGAATAATTGTGTAAAAACACACTTATCACTTTGTATTAAAGTCTTTTTAGGATTACTAATTTTCTAAAATAGATTAGTTGAAACAACATATTACTCATATAACCTCTCTTGCCTATATTTATTTATTTGGAATATAATAATATTTGTATGTATGTAATTCATACGTTATTCATTAATCCAAAAAAAGGTAAATATTTGGCCAAATTGCATACATACTTGTGATAATAACTCTGTGACAATTGTAACGTTTTCCATTATGTGAACATTGACAATCCAATATAGATTGTTGATAGGATTTATTGTTAATATATGGTTACTACACTAAAAGTACCGCCTACAAGTTGATATTTATGTCAAAAGTATAAATATCAATGTTATGTTTGGTCTTTTGTAATGGGGTCCACCATTATTTGAAATAATTAATTTTCTATTGCAAATTCCCATGTAAATATACTATTTAGTTTTAAGATCTTTATTCAGTCAATCCATCTAATTTGACAATATCTATCAATATCAATTCCATTCATGTGTTTAATGGAACTACATTTTAAAGACTAGAAATAGAATATTCATATTGTTCTTGATTGCATGGATCTAAACATTGTTGTAAGGACTGAATAATCCACTACACTTATGGATAAAAAGCTCACATGATCAAAATTGTAAACCAGGTGACACCCATGTGGTTAAAGGAGACAAGTTCAGTTTAAGTTGATGCCCTAAAAATGATTTGAAAATTAAAGAAATGCAAAAGATTCCTTATTTCTCAGCTATAGGGAGTCTGATGTATGTTCAAATTTGTACGCATCCGAATATAGCGTACATTGTTGGGATGCTAGAGAGATATTTAAATAACCCAAAAATGGATCATTAGAAAGTAGCCAAATGGGTTCTACGATATTTACAAAGAACAAAAGATTACATGCTTACATACAGGAGATAGGATCAATTGGAGGTCGTCAGTTTTCTGATTTCGATTTCATAGGATGTCAAGATAGTAGGAGATCCACT